AGAGCCTAAGTTAAGGTGGTGTGGGGCCATAGGAGAACAATGATATATGGTCCTGCAATAACAGCAGCATTGGGGTTTCCTTCCCTTGGGATGCATCAGAGTCTGTCCTGGAGGATAGGACATATTTGCACCTTTATAGGCTAACTAAAGTAGATTTATATCTAGGCTTGGCAGGATTCAATACATGGCGAGTTCACTGCTCACTCACAGTCCACGGGAAAGATATTTTCATCAGTAATAATCAAAATTTATAGAAAGGGGACTGTAACAGGGAACCTTTACCCCTGTTACTGGACAGTGGAGAGAAGGATGGGAGGGACAAAAGAGGAGAACAATGGATAACCTAATGACTTGTCAGTTAAGCAGTTAGCTGCTCATTTCGGCCTAATGACTCCTCAGTTAAGCAATTAGCTGCTCATTCACAGGTGTGAGAAGCAGGTTGGCCAGAGATAGACTTCTTAATCAACCCCTATCCTGGGTGTGGGAGAGAAGAGTATTTGGGGGCTCCAGCCCAGTGGCAGAAGGGTCCTGCTAGGGCCAGGCCCACTAAGCAAGGGGGATGGGGGGGGGCAAGGCCCACCTCGGCCTCTCCCCATGTTTCAGAGCTCTGGGGCTTCCACTGCTTTCCTATTCTGGTGCCTGCCCACCCACCTCTTTCCTGATGAATTAACAGAATGATTTAAAGCAGGCAGTTTTTACTGATGTATAGATATTTACTTTTTATATTTTGACGTGCTTTTTATAAAGCATTTAACAGCATGCTTTCATTACTAAATTGTCTGCCCCCACATACCTAATTTCATGCAATCCTGAAAATTTAAATTGATAAAAATTAAAACAAATGCTTACAAATAAACAAGTAGTCAGTGTGCTAGACCAACTGGACAGTTGCATCAAAAAACCTTTATTTGCAAGCTTTTGGGCGCACACACTTTTCCTCAGGCATTGGAGAATGCAAAGATTGTAACTTTTCTCCCAGGTAGAAATTAAAATTCACATTTCACAGGAGAATTGGAGGGTAGAGTAAGATCTCCTGGTTGGAAAAGTTCATTTTTCATGTTATGCAAATTAGGCTCAGATAAAAGTTGGAGCAGGATCAAAGGTGCCTAATGGTAAGCAGGATGTTGAATTATGCTTCTTTTTTGTTATGATGTTACATATTTCATGGGAGTATTGGTGGTGGAAGGTTCTCCTGGGCAAGGAATTTCTCTTGTGTTATATCAATTTTAGCCGTCAGAATTATTAAAAAAAATAAAAATTGAATTCTGCCAAGCTTATTTATATTGCAAGTTTAAGCAGGGATCAATTTTGTAGCCATGTTGGTCTGAGAAAAAGAGATACATATATTACACAACGTTCCTGAGTTAGGCAATATTTTTTATTAGACCAACTGAATAAGCATTCTTAGTCTCCCATGGTCTTGTGATGGCAGAGACTGGGGAGGTCATAGGCACATGAACTTGCCTTAATCCAGCCTAGCTCTGCTTTGAGCTACTGTTTTTTCAGTCAACTCTACCACCATTCAAGGAGGTGAAGTTAATTAGTTTGTAGTGAACCTGAGTGTACAGCAAAAGAGTTGCAGCACAATAGAAAAATGTCAAGTCAATTATTGCACATTAGGTTGTCAGCACAATGTGCAGCGCGGTATGCAGATGTTGAAACTGGCTTTGCATGACTCTGCTATGTTGCAGCTCTTAACTTTTCACTTAGTTTCTGCCCCACCTCTAAGGTAGTTCAAAGCTTTTTTTCCCCAATAATATGGGAAATCTCCCAGTACTCAGCTAAGCGAGACACTTCAACATATGGGACAAATATCTAAGGGCCTTGTTACAAGTTGCACTTGGAGCTGCTCAAATGTTGATCCATGTAAGTGCTAGCTCAAATCTGGAGCAGTCACACCTTAAGGAAAAAAAAACCTCTGACTGTCCCCACCCCGTGGTGCATACACACACCTGCACAGCTGTGACTTGCCTCTAGAGGACTGGCAAGCAGGGGCTGGATTAAGAGCTACAGCTGTGAGTTGCCACTACTGAACTTGTGAATCAGGACAGATTTCTATCCCTGCTGTAGGTGGGAGTGTGTTGCAGAGATGGGTTTGGGAGGCAGGAAAATGAAGATGGGAGGCAGGGAGTTAATGTGATGGGGTGGGTAATGAAATGGGAGGCGGAAAGGAAATGGGGGTAGGGGCAGGATAGTGAAATGAGGGAAGTCCGCCACTGAAGGATAAAATAAAAAGTGGGGGAAAATATTTTAAAAAGCAATGAAAAGGAAGTATATTAAAGAAGGTCTCATGTTTTAATAAATTGGAATTGGGACTGTGGTGTGGGGGTGCTGCTCGTGCTTCCTGGGGTAGCTGGAAGCTGGGAGCAGTGAGGGAAGTGCTTTTGGGGAAGCTACTGGCCCTGCCCCAGGAAGGAAGCCTGAGCTCATGGGGACCCAGCCTCCGACCTTGTTCCTTCCCTTACCCTTTACCCCCTTCCCCCCAGGCCCCACTCCAGGTCCCAACCATGCTCTGCAACCTGGCTAGCTGGCATGCACTCTGCCAGCTGTTTGCATGGGGGTTGCACCCCTGGGGATGAGAAGGTCATACACCCAGGTTGGTGCCAGAACCCCCTCCCTGGGCAGTAGGGCTCAAGGGCTGGAAAGTTTGTCCGCACAGAATAGGAGGCTGGGCGAGGGAACAATGCATCATGGGATGCTGAAGGACTGCCATTTGGGCAGCTCATCTGTGGGGAGTGGCCACATGTTAATGGAAGACAAGCTAGGTAACATGGATCAGAGATAAACCTGCCCTGGAATGGCATAACTTTAAGCCCCATGTTTGAAAATTATTAGTCTAATGCAAGCCATAGAAAAATAAATAGGTGAAAGGGAGTGATACATTTGTTACCTAAGCCAGAGAACATGTCATTTTGTCATATTATCCTTGGCTTCCTCCTGCCATAAATTTAGCAGATGATTTTACTAAACTACATATTAGTGGTTGTATTTACAAGCACTAAATTCACTTTATAACAGCTCTTTTATCAATAATAAGAAACCAGGTACTGTCTGCATTTGTTGGCAATGCATTAAGAATTTATTTAAAAACTGTAAAACAGCATAAACTAATACTTCAGGTTTTTCAAAAGGGTAATAATACACAAAGTTTGACTTACACTGAAAAGACAAAAAGCAGTTTGTTTCAAATTCAAAAAATACAAATTTTTGCTACAGGTACAAAATTAGAAAAAGTTTATTTTTTCCTCTTGATCTGGGGACAGACACGTACAGAAGGAACGTTTATTCCACCAGCTTCAAACTGATCATAATTATGAGAAGTGACAATAAAGTAAAAATGTCATGGTCAGGGAGAAGAATAAAGTTTGTCTTTCATTCAACAAGAAATGAACACTGATTTCATTCCTGTGCGCTTTTTGTTTTTGCCAACATTTTAAATTAACATCTTTCATGCTGCACATAACAATCAGAGAAAAGACAGTTCTACCCCATGCATTTATTCTAACATTTCATCACATATCTCCTGGTCGTGCTTTCCTTTTACTCGCTTAAGAAGGTTGGTATTTTCATTAACAACAATTATGGAAGCTCATTGTGGGCTGACATCATGGGTACCATTGTACTGAAGTGTAAGAATACAATCTGTACCCTGAAAGCATTCAGACCTGCTGATTTGTAATATTGTATAGTTGAGTCAGATTTGTTTGCAGTAACACAGCTGTAACAGGGGCTTGTTTGTTCCAGGAGACAAATGCTACCAAGTACCCACTTCCGTGAAACACACATTCATCTTTTACAGTGTGCAAGGATGCAGAAGCCCTACAACACCTGTTCTCCATGATTTGCCTGGGCTTCTGCGCATAAGAATCATAGATTCTTATTTTATTTTATTTTAAACGGACTTGTGCTTAAAGTTCCCACTCTACTGGTTTCATGCAGACACACAGTATTGCTGATCAGATAAACTGAAAACAAATGTTGTCAATAAAGCAAGACCCTCCAACTCACTTCTTTTAAAACAAGAGTCTTCTTTTTTTGTTGATTTGGGTTTTTCTCCCAGTGTCAAGTGAGGCCCTTTCCATTTCATTGTACCATTTTTATCATGTTTGATTTATTACTTTGGCCTGTTTAAAGGACTCATAGAGAATGTAATCTTTCTTCCATAAAAGATCTGGACAATATATTTTATATTAACTATACTGAAGTTCCAAGGTTAAGGCTTTGCCTTGCTATTAAAAGGACACTGCAAATTTATCAAAATCTAACTGCTTTGTTTCATTACCTCACTGAGCAAATGATACACCATTCCCTGATCACAAGCATACACAGTGCCTTATATTTGTTAGTAGTGGGTTAGCCTTGATCTAATTTTTCCCTTACCTGTTGTATTAAATATCCATACTAAAGTAGAAGAAAAAAAATTGTATGTCACATTTCTTCTTGCTCTAGAACATCTAAGAAACTATGATATTAGGTGCTCTTTGTCATCTTTACTAGCTATACTTAAAAAAACCCCGAAAAACAAAACACACCTACAGCACTAAAACAGAACTTTATCACCACTGAGAACCAGCTACAGCAATACATTACAATGGCATTATTTACAATTTGATGGCATATTATGTATATAATAAATTACATGTTAACACTTTTCCTCTTAAACTCTGATATAGGTAATATTTTTTCGTTCAGTCCAATATATTTTTCCCCTATATATCTTAACTATATAGGATAGATTGGGAGATGATAATGCTCTTTCACCGGTCTCTTCTGAATTTTAGAAGCCAAATTGTGTTAAAAGTTCTGGATAGATCACAATATCCTGCTCTCTTTACTAACGCTTTTACTTTGTATCTCTTAAGATCAGATATAAGGAGGGATTGTCAGATAGGCCAGCATGCAAACTGATGTCAGGTTTTAGAAGTAAAACTTCAGTTTATTTGCTCTTTCTGAACTTACCCAGAGAACAGAAGCCAGTACCAACCACACGCCTACCACTGTGTGGCTTTGACAATGTTCCTGACCACACTTTTTTTTGTCTAATTGGGTTTACCAAACAAAATGGGGAATTTGTAAAGGAAAGGAAGAGGAAGAAAGTTTATCTAGGCTAATTCTAAATCACCCAGGGTGTAAGGTAAACAGAAGGTTTCTCATTACTCTCCAAACCATACCTTTTATTGTTTTTTCCCAGTGGCAGACATGGTTTGAGAGCCTAGATTCTGGAGTAACAGCCTTTTATACTTAACAGAATTTAAAATTGCTTGTTCTAAACTCTGTAAATAAGTTTACTACTCTTTTCTGGAGTCTGCACTATAACAGATAAGTTTCTCCCCAGTTTAGGGAGCCTCACTTCTGTAGGATGGATTATTCCCATGCAATGTTTATTGGAGGTGCCAGAGGGAGATGGAAGAATGGAAAGAGGGAGCATGGTCTGAGGGTAAGTCTCCCTCTTCTCATTCTTTTCCTCCCCTCCCTCGTTTTCTACAGGCACTCTTTCCCCTCTGTGCACAGATGATGACAAGATAAAGACCTCTTGAGCCAACCAGGCTTAGACCTTGAAGACCCTGGTGAGATCTACTGGCAGTGGAATGAATGATCTCAGACCTGGAAAGAGAAGTGAATTTCCTCTATTCCTTCTCACATTGTGCTAGTCTTTAACAGATACATTTTGTCTGTGCATGCACCAATAAGGTACTTTTTGACGGTCATGGGAGCTTCACGTTTGTAGTCAAACACAGAATAATTAGTCTCCTAGCCTAGTTCTAATTATTTCAGCATTGTCATTGTTAGACAAACTGCTAAGCCTCACTCAGCTTGTAAAAAAAAAATGTATTTCATTAGGCCGACTTGGTTTAGTTCTATGGACCTTAATGAATCTAAGTCCTTGAACAGATACATAACCAAAAGTAGACTCACCCTCTGTGGACTTAAATTTAAATGAGCAATACTAATACAGCATTCTAATTTCTAACTGCCTATCTTTTCTGCATTTTCTCTAGGTTAAAAGGAGACTGCAGTTTTAGCTAGTGTGCACTGCACTTTTACTCATCTAGTATGTACAGACAGCAGCAGTAGAAAGAGTACCTCCATAAGTCTGGAGTGTTCCCTGACCTGCTATTCATGTTAAATTAGATCTTGGAAACCTATATCACTCTGCATTTTCCCCTAAGTGACACACAAGGAATGATACAGAAGCAACTATGAAAAACATCACTGACGTCAACATAGGTATCAAAAAGTATTCTAAACCCATTTCAGTATCCACTTTAAACATCCAGCAGTGTCTGCATATTGGACAGATTAAAATCGATTTGAATTTTATTTCGCACATCTTGTGAGTAGAGACAAAAGTTCAGTTCTTATGTCTGATATAAACAGTGCTCTTTTGTTTCATATTTAATAAGAACAGTAAAAGTGGAGTGCTTGCTTGTATTAACATTGCCATGAGACATTTTCTAGTATAAAAATCTATATGCAGCTTAAACAGTATTCCAAGGCTCTGCTGTCTGTTAGGTGATGGTTGAAAGGTTATGGTTAAAACTTTACAAGACAACTATACAGTGATAACACTCAAGAAGAAATTTGGGGTCCAGTAGCATGCTAGCTGAGGTAGGCTTAAAATAGACCCCACTGAACTAGAAAATCCTGCACAGATTCAGATGGCATTAAACAGACAAAAACAAAGAAACAAACCACAGTTAGTCTCTGCTAATCTGAGCAAACCAAAATTAGTACGGTCAGTTATTACCAGTCCTTAAAAATAAAATGTACTAATAAAATCTCTCAGTCTGAGGAAATTACAGTTGCTTTCAAACTTACTAGTTTGAGTTGTCTTGTTTTTCTGTTATTCAAAGAAGATGCATTTATTTTCTGTAGAGGGAGGGGAGCTGAAAGATTGAGTAATGATGGGCACCCTGCACAGATGATTATAGACCACTTACTGCTCAGTTCTGCATAGTTTAATGTTCCTTATCTATGGCAATTCATTATGACAACCCCTGTCCTGCAGCCAGAAGCCTAAGACCTCTGTCCCAGTCAAGCCTTCCTGTCACTTGCTGTGACCAGTAATGGGGATGTGCTTTGGCTGGAAATCAAATGTGTGCCTGCAGCTATGGGCCTATCTGCCAGAAGTTCACCCTACCCTGGAGGACTTTACCCAAGGCAGTAAAATAGATCTTAATTTAAAAATAGCTTGGGCAGTGTTTCTTAACCACATATACTGAAGTGTGTGTGTGTGTGTGTGTTTTCTCTGTATACAGAGCAGTTGTGTGTAAACAGAATGAATAGAAAAAGCAGAACAATAGGAGGCAGCAGCCAGTGGTGCGTTGGTCGAATAGCACCACAGTTAGGTTGGATCACGAGTCTAGAGTCTTAGATGCAGTAGAACTGTATATCCTTTTGTACCTTGCAATTATAAGTTAATTCAGTCAGCCACCTACCCCTCGCCAAACACATACCTCCACATGCTTTGCTGAGAGAGGGAGAGAGAAAAAAAATTTAATATGCCTATTAAAGATTCTAGGCCAATCAGACTCCATTTGAAAATACTCCTCATTGCCTTATTTGGGGTACCCACAACATTTCTGAGGCACAAAACAAAGTTAAGAACCAGGTGATTCTTAGGTTAGTATCCAGCAGATCACTTAATATTAGTTATAAGTCTACAGTCCTCTTCAGATTACCCAGAGGCTTAAAGATAATTTGAGAAAATGAAGGCCTTTGATGCTGAGAGGTGCTGCATATCCACAACTCCATGAGCACCACAGGCACTTGGCACCTAGTAGAATCAAGGCTCTAAAAGAATAAATGATCTTTCCCACGTGGTATATTTTATTTAAGCAATTTTGGAACATCTCTGATGACTTCAATGGACTCTCCTCCATTGTCATTTCAAGAGGTGGTTGCTGCTGGTACCCACTGCAAGATCTCCCATTTGTGAGAGCAAAAGCCGCTACAGTCACATAAAAAGCACTAAGATTTATTGAGTACTTTTTATTCCTACCTAAAATGTGTGCAACCTAAATGAGCATAAGTTTTGCATAAAGCTAATTTGAGCCTCGTCTTGCTCCTACTGAAGTCAGTGAGAGCTCTGCCATTCATTTCAGCAGGAGCTTAATCCAGAAATTTCACCAGTTTTCATGACAAAAGAGATTGTCATGATAACATGGTCTGATCTGTTCAACGCAAGCCAAAGAATGTCCCCAGAAGTGTCTACATCAAGCACACAACTCCAGTCTGAGCTGTAGCTCAGCTTTTAAAAAATGTATCTGCTCTTGATTTACGGTTTCAAGGGACAGAGAATCCACCAGAACACTCACGAAATTGCTCTGAGGGCCCTCAGTGATCATCATCTCTTCCTTCATCACCATCGTCCTGGGGAGCACAGATCCAAGTATGAAAGGGAAAATATGCTCATTTTAGCTGTCACCCTATGTTTGCATCTACACTGAGCTGCAAGTATATTTATATTGAAGTATATGAGTGTGGCATCTACACTGAGCTGCAAGTATATTTATATTGAACTGTATGAGTGCCCCCTGCCCATTTGTTTAGTCTACAACCACATTTGTCAACAGTGTAAAATTAAGAGGGGGATGTAGATTTATTTGAATTATCAGAACACTCTGGGATCAAAGTCCAGTGTAAGAACTGCTGTTATAGGGATGAGTGCTTTTTTTTTTTAACCAATGTATGCAAATAGCATTTAGAAAGACTACAAAAATCCAGCTTGGCTATAGGCAGCATGAATTCAGCTAGTTGCTGGGCAGCTTTGGCTGTTTTACACTCTGTGGCACCTCCAGTCCCGTGTGCAGAGTTACCTGTGCAGAACAGAAATAACTGCTTAGAGTTGAAACACAAATCAGAGCTTCATTGCAAATCATTTGGGAAGGCTGAGAATAGGTGCCATGCTAGAAGGTCTGGGTGACTGAGGAACTGGGATTTGCGGCCTGGTGCAGTGATGGATGGTGCCAGAGAGAAGCCCTAAAATGCAGATGCTTCTCTTCTCAGAGGCTAGAGCCCAGGTATGTGCGTTTCTCCCCCACCCCCCCAGTTTAATAGCCATTGGTGAGCTACCTCTAACCCAGCTACTGCCACTTACCAGAAAATGAGGTAACAATGCCTAAAGCATTCTGGGGAAATAGAGAAGGGCAGAAGACAGGGTGGATGTGCACCTTGCAGATTAACCAAATCAGAGATGCAGAAGCTTTCAGTTGGGTAGAAGTTCTCCTGTATTAACTAAAGGAAAATTGTTGACCCCTCCTTGCTGGGCTGTCAGGGCAGGAGTGAAGAAATTTTACTAGTCTCACTATAGCCAGATTTCTAGAATGACACCTCTCACCATGTTACAGGGGTGTAGGTTGTAGCCGCGTTGGTCTAAGGACATAGGGAGATGAGGTTCTTTGGTTAAATCTGATATTTATTAGACCAACTCAAATAGTTGGCAAAATTCTTCTTTACAAGCTTTCGGGTATATATACTCTTAGTCAGGCTGAGGAAGCATCTGCAGTTGGTGTGCGCTCTTCCTATTCATTCCATGCAAGAAGAGCACACACCAACTGCAGATCTTTTCTCAGCCTGACAAAGGGTATTTATACCCAAAAGCTTGCAAAGAAGAATTTTTCCAGCTATTTGAGTTGGTCTAATAGAAGATACCAGATTTACCCAAAGAACCTTGTCTACCTCTCACCATAGTATCCAAGTACCATCTAAAAGCTCTCACAAGCTTAAACTCATGAAGGGCTTTTGCCCCTTGTACAACTGTGTGTGTCAGGAAGGAAGAACAGATAGAAGGCACATTAAAGCAGCAGTAGTGTAACACCAAAAAACCCACTTAATTAATAAATGACGTAACTTTGTGGCTATTTGTCTATCATTGTCTATGTACCTCCACTGTAGGCTCTGGGAGATAAGGACAATGGCCAGATTTTTAACAGTACTGAGTCACCTAAAAAAAGGCAGATAGGAACTTAGTGGTTCTTTTTATGAAGAAAGTGGGAGTTAGGTGTGATTTTAAAAATACCAATAGGCACCCAGCTGCATATTTGAAAACCTTTTAAAAATATCTTTAAAACGTTATTGTGCTCTCCCTGGGTATAGAACCCCATTACAATAAGACCTCCATCTTTATGTGGTTGCTTGGTCACCACTAGGAACAATTCTATCATTGTTCCTATTACATTACAGTGATACATTGTAGTAACACTTTCATTATTACTGTGCTGTGCAGATTGTCTTGTTTTAGTTTAGAGCATTTTGCATCCTTAACTAATCTGCCACTGCTGGTCATTGTGGGACAAAGCTGACATTTAGTGAATGCCTTCAGCTTTCAGGGTGATGGTTCACTAGAAGGTTTCAGTACATCAAGGCCCTGATTCTCTTTCCAGCAGTATAAAGGCACAGAACCATTTATAAATTGTGTGTAGTCAGAGTGAAGCTACAGCGTTAATTGGGTCTTCCCTGTGGAAGAAAGTATTTTTTAACCTACTTCTCCTTTGCTCTATTTACCATCATACCATGGAAATTGTACTTGCTCTTCAAGGTTAATTATTGCCAAACATATGAAATTAGGGTATTTAGGAAACCACTACTTTTAGTCAAGGCTGCAGAACTGCCTTAGAATACTGCTGCTTTCTTGGCTGGAGGAGCAGCACAGGAAAACCGTTTGGGAAATAAGTTTTTGAATGTTTCTATTATATTTAAGGTCTCATTACCCTATATCTGGGACACAACACTAAAATTGAAATTCCTTCCTTCCTTTTAAAGTGTTGCTAACCCCTACGCAACCAAAACTAGGACAGTCCATCCATACTGACCCATAAGAGCTGTATCTGTCATGCAATACTTATTGACAGGCAGTCAGATTTGTCCTTAGTTAACATGCACAATGACTTAAATTGAAAAGGGGAAGATTTACCTGTACATTTCGGTTGAGGCTCAAGGCAGGCAGGAAGACCCCTTCCACATTTTCAAATGCTGTGGGTCCTTGCTGCTGCCCATTTATATAAAAGGTCAGGTTATGCTTGTTTAGGTCCAGGAGAACACCAACAGTGGCACCTTTAGAAACACCCCCTTCTGTCCTGAAAAACAAAGGGAACATACTGGCTACTTTAGTAGAAGCAGATGGTTAGATTGCACCAAAGTTAGTTTAATAATGCCCCTCTTATTGAAGTGGAAGGAAAGTAGCACACCCTTTTGAAAGTAGTGTGGGAGGGAAGGGGGGGTGGGGAGAAGGCATTCATCTGACCAGGGAGAGGGATTTTCACCTACTCTAGGGACTTAGTGGGGGCAGAGGAAGCTGATAATAGGCACTGCAGTGTGTGTTACTCCTCCTGCACCCCTCTTTGAGAAATTCTTGATCTGCCCTTGGACACATTCATCCAGTTCAGTACAAGTTTACCAGATACGTTAGATGACCCCAGCCAGATGCCTATCCAGCCTTCTCTTAAAGACCCCCAAGGTAGGGAAGAGCACCACCTCCCTTGGAAGCCCCTTCCTAATTTTGGCCACCCTTACTGTGAAGAATGTTTTCCTGATATCTGGCCTAAATCTTCTCTCTTGTCAGTTTGTGACCATTGTTCCTTGTTACCCCCACAGGCACCCTGGTGAACAGAGCATCTCCAATCCCTTGCTGCACCCCCCTAATAAATTTCCTGATGGCCCTGGGCAAACTTTTAGTATTGGGCCCCCTTTTGCCAGAGATGATAATAATAATAATAATCAGACAACAGAAAAAAAAATTACCATTTATACATATAAACTGAATTTGTGGAAATAAAAATGCAGGATTAGGTATATGTATATACACAATATTAAAACTTTTTTTGCAATTGTAATTTTTTTTTTTTTCATTTTTGGGCCTCTTTTCTGTCTAGGCCCTGGGCTGCCACTCAGTTCACCCATGCCTGTGTTTGGGTTCACTAGGCAGCAGCATTTCCTTGCTGCCTTCCCTCTTGCAGCCAGCCCCTGTTCAGCTGTCCTGGCTCTATTTGCTGCTGTTTCTCTCTTGAAATTACAGGAGACTTTTGGCTCCCTGTTAGACTGGCCCAACCCCAATTTCTTCTGAATCACTGGTACAACACTCATTCGTATTATAATGTAGATATCCCTGCCAAAAAACAGAACGGCCACTGTTCTAGGTGCAGGCCAGGGTCTAAAAAAATAACAAGCACTTCTGGCTGATATCAGGCAGGTATGAATACGGCTGGTATACTGCCAAGTGTGTGAGTCAGCATGGCTCCCTGAACTGTCTGTGACATGGCACGCTGAGGAAGAAACAAAATGTTTGGTTTGATTTATTAATAGTTGTAGGCTAAGATTTTCAAGTGACTAGGAACCTTGGGTGCCTTCATTTCTGTGCACCTGACCTGAGATACCTTAAATGCCTGATCACCCAAACAGCAAGAAGCTAACAGAGGTGAAACATAATCAGGTTCGGAGGAACTGCTTAAAGCACTAGAGATGGGAGCTAGTTCAGTGACTGACAAGATGTTCAGCCAGTGAACTGGAAGTTTGTTCCAAGGTTTGGAATATTGCTAAAATTAGGGATAATCAGTTGTATTCTGAGCAGCTGCTGAAAGCCACTGAGTCAGGGTCTCTAGTCTCTACCATGATGATAGATTCAGCCAATTATTACATGCAAGAACGATTTGACATTATTGTCCTTTCCTTTGGGACCTAGGCTAGCCCAATGCCATACTACTTTAAAGGGCATTGAGTTAGAAATCCACTAGATATGTGAATTGGCCATAGGCGCTGATGCTTTTTTAATGCCATTAGAACTTTATAATGAATTTACAGCCTGATACACATGCCTTCAGTCTGAATAAACTTTTAACTTATTTCCAACAGAAAAAGAAAAAAAATCCCCTTAATTCCAAAATGGCAAAAATCACATTTTTCACGTAATATAGACTGGACATTTTGATGAATAACACAAAACCTAATAAATGCAACTAGGATGCATATGTAGAGAAGAGCATTTGAACATTAGTGGCGGTGGGTGTTTTAGTTTTGTTCTCTTGCTGGCATAACTATGGAGACAAGTTTGCCTGGCTCTTCCTAGTCCCTGTGAAGTTAAAGGAAGTTTTGCCCTTGTGTTCAATGGAAGTAAGATTGGGCCCTTTGAGGGGCTTCCTAAATGAAATATCTTCAGATGATGTCATTCTTATAGTCAAACTCATTAGTTTGCCCTCCTGTCACATCATGAAGTTCACCCCCCACCAGCTCTGGATAGTTTTAAATCAACAATAGCTTCTGATATATTACTATTTGCCTTTAGTGTGATGCTCCTTAGGATTCATATTTTTTAAGTTTATCTCAACAACTCAGGATAACATGACAAGAGTCAGCAACAGTAAGACAAAGAGATATTTTGATGGGTTTTTTTTCTTTCCTTTTAATACCAGATGACATCTTTTTAAATGATGCTGTTCTTTTCTGGGAGCAGAAATTTTAAGTGTTACCAATTACCCTCCTTTTTCTGTATAATAAGTCAATGAATTCTCGGAGGCTTATTAGTTGCCTTCTAGACAAATCCATTGAGATACTGTTCCCTGTGCTTCCCTGCTATGCTAAAGGGATGAAAACATACGCCTTTGCTTGTAAAAGCTGAAACCCTTCTGTTACAGGCCAGTAGGGGGTGCTTCTGCATTGAGCCACCCACCTCACTGCGCCCGACTACCTTCCAGGCTCCGAGTGCCTCCCTGGGGGCGCCTCATGTCTGGCCGACCCCCTTATAGTTTCATACTTTCTAGGGTCGGAAGGGACCTGAGAAGATCATCTAGTCCAACCCCCTGCCATAGCAGGAAAGAGTACTGGGGTCAAACGACCCCAGCAAGGTGTTCATCTAACCTCCTCTTAAAAACCCCCAGGGT